GCTAACGATTGCAAGCATTTAAAACATGTTCCAAACATTGTAAGACACTTAAAAATGAGCGAAAACGGAAGAGCTTCAAAAGCACTGAAGCCGGCTTCAGTGCTTTTGAAGTCCTTTCCGACGTAGACATCCTTCAGTCTCGAGAGACTATGGTAACGTGCTCTGTATGGAGGTCTTGGAACAACGTCTAGTGTGGCTGAGAAGGCCAATTTGAGAGTGACAATCCCTTCCACATTGAAGACAAATGCAATCTGTCCCCTGTCCAGCTCCCTGGTTTTGCTGGTTTTGGGACCGCCTCTTTGCCTCGGCCTGCTGTATATAAAATAAAATCAATGATTTACTATTGTACCCAAAGGGTTATTGGAGTAGTACTGAAAGTGTCTTTGACAAAACAGAAGTTGAGTACTAAAGAATATCTGCTATTATTTCCATAATAGTGAAATGTTGAGGTCCATTCCTAAGGCCTTCCTAAGGCTATATATAAATTTGATATATAAAATCAATGATTTACTATTGTACCCAAAGGGTTATTGGAGTAGTACTGAAAGTGTCTTTGACAAAACAGAAGTTGAGTACTAAAGAATATCTGCTATTATTTCCATAGAATCATAGTGAAATTAGAAGGGGCCTCAAAGGCCATCCAGTCCAAACCCCTGCTCAGTGCAGGGAATAAAAATCAAAGGCTTTCTCGCCAGGTGGTGGTCTAAGTTTCTCTTCAATACTTCCACTTCTTGAGGGCTCCTCATGACAGGACTTTTGGAGATCACTTAGATCACAGGGTCATTCAAAACGGGAAAATGACTTGATGGCACCTGACCATCTCAACAACTTTCAGGCCGATGTCGTTCGTGTTCCAGCTTGGCCTCAACTGCTCCTGTTGGTTGGTTGTCTTCTGTCCACCGAGACAAACCTCGCATCAGTGGCACTTCTGCTGATGAGGAGGCTTCTTCCCCTTTCACCAAGCATGAATGGCCGTGGACAGCCTGGACATTTCGGACAGGGTTGGCACTTGTAGCGATGTATGGAAGTGAGAGCTGGACCATAAAGAAAGCTGACTGCTGAAGAATTGATGCTTTTGAATTGTGGTGCTGGAGGAGGCTCTTGAGAGTCCCCTGGACTGCAAGGAGGACAAACTTATGTATTCATTTATTTTTATTTATTTTATTTATATCCCGCCTATCTAGTCGCAAAGGACTACTCTAGGCGGCTTACAACAGGGAAGAATACAGTAAAAATAGAACAACAAATTACAAAACAGATAAAAGTAAAAAACAATAAAAGATAAGAAAATCAGAAGTAATCTGGTGAGAAGGCCTGCCGAAACATCCAGGTCTTTAGTAGATTCTTAAAAGTGCCCAGCGAGGGAGCTCCGTGAATACCAGGAGGTAAATTATTCCACAGGCGAGGAGCGACCGCCGAGAAGGCCCTATTTCTTGTTTTCTCAAGGAAATCAACCCTGGGTGCTCACTGGAAGGACAGATCCTGAAGCTGAGGCTCCAATCCTTTGGCCATCTCATGAGAAGAGAAGACTCCCTGGAAAAGACCCTGATGTTAGGAAAGTATGAGGGCAAGAGGAGAATGGGATGACAGAGGATGAGATGGCTGGACAGGGTCATCGAAGCGACCACCATGAATTTGACCCAACTCCGGGAGGCAGTGAAAGATAGGAGGGCCTGGCGTGCTCTGGTCCATGGGGTCACAAAGAGTCGGACACAACTAAATTACCAAACAACAACAACAACAAATGGCACTCGTGGGCCCAGATCCTTCCAGGAGAGCAAGTGCCTTGTCTCCTCCTCATCCGTCAGGGCTTTGTCTCTCCTGGCTGCCGCCACACAAGGAGAAGGGGCTGAGCGGGAAGACGTGTTCACAAAAGGCAGCCGGGCTCCGGCTCTGCTTTTGTTGCCCTGCCGTTCCCAGCTGCTTTGAAATGGGCCCCGGTTGCTGGGGAAACCTGCAGGATTTCCCTGAACGGGGTGGTAGGACATGGC